AGCACTTACAGCTCACAACTTATGCTGCGGCTTTTGCCTTCAGGAAGGATGATATTGCACCTCCTTAATTCCTCTTGGGATTTCCCAGCTCTGAAGTCCTTTGTCAGCCAACCATGGTTATACAGGCTGTTCGGTGAGGTTATTGATTCCTCTCATCCCTGCCTCCTTACTCGGCAAGGCTGATTTATAGGAATTCTGGTAGGAACCACTAAAAACCTGGCAGGGCTCATTAATTTGTGAATCTTTTAAAGACTTCCCTCATCACAGAGAACATCTGTTTGCCGGAGTGTTATTTTTGCAGCTGCCAAATCAGGTTTGCAAGACTCTCACATTCTCTGCAAACCCAAACTTGATACCATAATATTTACATTCAGAGCTCAACACTCCCTTTTCCACAAGATCTATGCAGAGTGAACACAGCCACACTCAGCTGTGCAAACCTCAGTTCCACTGAAATAGCCCACATTAATGCCACTAAATCCAGAGAAATCAAGATCAAACCTAGTTGTAGACTTTCTCTTTTGCTTTTTATGTTCACCATGAGGCATTTCATTAACATCTGGAACATCAGCAGAGGGAAATCCCATTAACACTAATTGTGCTATGCATGAATATCTCCCACAAATTGATGAGAAAAATTCTGCCTCGGTCCTCCAACTTTATCTTTCCAATGTAGCATTTGTATTTCCTGATGTAATTTCAATGGCCTTCTGCAACTCATACCCCAGGAATGCAACTGCTTGTAAATCAGGTGAGACCAAAACACTGCTGAGATTGAGACCATCCGCTTATTTCTTCCTTAAGACAAATCTTCTTCCAAGTCTTTGATCTCCTTATTTTATTTACTGTATATCTGCACATTTGCACAAAGCGTTCTTGTTGTGAGCCAACAATTGCCACTGTCAGGCTTATATTTCTTGGAGGAATTTCTCTCTCATTCTCTTTGAATGTGCAAAATTATTTTTGCTGCTGCTGGGCTGGTGTCAGCTGACACAGCTAATCTTCTAATCTTCTCTCTGGGGTGACATCAGAGGAGATGATGGGGACGTTTCCTTTCTTGAATACAAATCTCAGATTCAATAGTGGCTAATGAAAATCTCATTAATAAAATAAATTTAAAAAAACACAAGCCAGATTGTTATTAAGGACTCACATGTGCAAAATCATTATATATGTAGGGGGATATATATCGGAGATGTATATATGGTATGTATATTTCAGGGGGATGCTGTTATTCTTCTGTTTGCTGCTAGCTGTATCTTGCTTTCATCCCTTACTTTCCCTTCCCTGGATGTGTTGCATGAGACTGTGTCAGTGCATCCACTTCCCTTGCAATGTCATTATTCCACGCCCCATCTGTCATGTTGAAACGCAAAAAGGATGTGTCAGAAAACAACAATGAAATAAAATCCCAATTACTGGGACTTACTTTCTTATCTTTCGCTGTTGCACATGCAGGTGGAGCTCCCCAAGCATCCCACTGCTAATGGAGGCCAGCCTGCAGGACTGCCCTTAGGGCTGTTTAATGTCATCCACTGACACCACTCTGCTGCTATTTGCCTGCATCACTCTCTGCATCCCCCCACCCCCTCTCCACTCTCTCACAACTACTACTGGTACCCAGCGGGCAGAGATCTCTTCACGCAGCTGGGGGAAATCCAATGGAATTTGCATAAATTAGAAGCAAGAAGTACATTTTAGCCATTCACCATTTAAACTGCATGGAAATAGCACTGATGCAAAATACAAATTCCTGCTGAACTGGGCAGGAAGGTGATTGTTTTGGCCTCGTGAAAAACTGCAGACTGAGTAACCAGCTCTGACCTGGTTAGCTGACATCACTCCTGCTCCCCACCACTGTGCTGCCTGCTGTATAAGTGATGAAGCAGCCTAGTGTCCAGCTGGGAGTGATTGGGTGAGATGTAAGACATCAAGGAGCAGATTTCCAGAGACGCTTAGATCAGAAGCCCAATGGGATACGTGTATAGTCAATAAGTATGCAGAGGTTAGGCTTGGTAAGATGTAAGATCAATAAGCATACAGATGTTAGGATCAATAAGATTATCATGGTGGAAAGATAATCAAAATAAATGAAAATGCTCATGTTGTAGGCTTGCAGCAAACTCCACAAGGAGCAACCTCCAGAAAGTGATCCTTCCTCAGTGGCAGTCAGTCCTTAAATGGGGTCGAGGAGATGTGGAGCCAGGCTCCACCCCCTCCTGGTCACGCAGGTGAATTGCTTTCAGCTGTGCTCCCACGGCTGACTCAGTGATTGCCTCAGGTGGTCAATCAGAGATTCAGGCTGTGATCAACAGTTCCCATACAGATATGTAAGCATCTGTGGTAGAAATTAGGTCCCGCTATGTATCCTGCTTGGGTTAGATATTGGGGAAAGGCTCTGCCCCAGAGGGCAGTGGGCATGGCCCTGGGATGTCAGAGTTCAAGGAATGTTTGGACAGCACATACAAACATAGGGTTTAGATTTGGGTGATGCTGTGCGGAGACATGAGTTGGATATGATGTGGGTCCCTTCTGACTTGGGATGTTTTATGTTTCTATGATACTCATTGAAGTGACATCCAATATTCATGACCGTGTGCTGCTCACTGTGCAGATCCAGTGTAAAGACAGTGTGGGCAGATGCTCTGCAATGCCCTCTGCCCTTTGCTGGGACTTGAGCTGGGCACCCCATACTCCCTTCCTCTTTTCCTTCCTGAAGTATCTAGTGAAGTGTTTTTCCATAGGAGACCAAGGGAGGCCAGGGCCAACTTTCTGTAGGCGATACTCCACTGCTTCCTTCCGCATATTAAATTTACCATTCCTCCCACAGCATTTGTCATTGATCTGATGTAGAAGAGTGTGTGCTAGGCAGCAGTATGGAGAGCAGGCAGATCCACGATCTGTTTTCTCTGTGCGTTGAGGAATAAGCATCCCTGGGGCTCCTCACAAAGCCCAAGAGAGAGCACTTACTGATGGATATTTATCATGTTAATACCCACTATAATACTCTGTGCTTACTTCTCACATTTTATTGTTCAGTTCAATTTTAAGCTTTAGTATTTTGCCATGTGTAGCAGAAAAGCTAATTCATGGCCTGAACAAGTGATGGAGCATGTGGTCAGAAGACAGGACCAATCCAGGGGAGCTCAGGTGCATGCAATGCAGCTGAGTGACCAGAAGGGATGGAGCCAGGATCCACCTCTTCCCAGAACTCATTTAAGGGTTGGCAGGAGAGGTAAGAGTGCTTTGCTGGGGATCCCTGTTTACCTGAGGTCTTTTGAAGGTAAGCTGCTTTCTCTTATTTCTGTGCCTATAGCTGTTGCATTTGTGCTAATCCTCGCTTGCTGCAGCCTTGGATCTTGCTGCTCTGCTGTTGCTGTTGTGCTTTCCTTTGCATTTACACCGTGATAAAGACTAAGCTTATTCATGTATTCCCCAGACTTTCCCCTGTCAGACTTCAGTTTTCTAGGCTTGGCATCTTTCCAGGCTCCTTTCAGCCTGAGAGATAGAGAAGCTTAAAAGAAATACTAATTTTTGCTCTAAAAAAAAGAGGAGAAAAGAAGTCTTACATTTTCTGAAAAAATAGTTCTGCAATCAAAATTTCTAGGTATTAGAGGAAAAGTTTTAATTGAAAAAGTTCTTATTTGAGGTAAGCGGTGATGAGTATCCACGTAAGATCTAGAATGTATTCAACTTCTTGCCCAATGGTTATTACTCTGTTTCAGCGTTTCATAGAGCCTTCCCAGGGCTCAGCAGAAGTGGGGTGCCAAGTCCCAATTATGGCTCTAGTTAACATTGCTGTAGTAGTTGTAGATGTCTTTGTCCCTTCCCTTGCCCTCTCTGCTGCCTCCTCTGCCCAGAAGGTGTTGAGCCAAAGGCCAAGTGATGGGGGTGAGTGAGGCACAGGTTTTATCAGCCATTTGTGAAGATGAGTTTGAGCAGAATCACAGGCTTGGGAGCTGGTGTGAATTCGCTGCAGGAACCACTCCAGCACTGCTGGAGGACTCCAGCCAGCAGCAGAGGAGCACTAGCACACAGCTGGAAGAGGTAACATCAGATTGAGCCACAGCTGCTTGCTTTGAGTGCAGGGTGGGATGGCCAGCCCTTGAGCCTGTAAATACTCAGGCAGCTGTTTCACTTTATAACTGTGAGTGGATCCAGGAACTTGTGGGGTTTGAAGTTCAATTGGTATATATTTTTCTCTAGAAATGGGAGTCTGTGTTTGTACAGAGCCTAGCTAGAAAAACATCCGTCAACTCATCTTGGAACAAAATTTTTCTGCACTGGAACTGTGTGGGGAGAAAAGGGCACTCTGTTTTGGTGTAAGCCCTCTGCTCTTCCCTGGTGTGTACAGAGGATGAGAACAGATCCCTCCTTGGTTCTGTATCTCCCAAATCAGAAGTAATTCCTTGTAGGTGGCAGAGGAATGGGGAGGATGTGAGTGAGAAGGATGGATGCAATGCCCTGCACTTCTTATGTGGGGAGAAGAGCACAGGCTGTGGATGTGGTATTTTCTCTCTGGAGCTGACACTCTGAAGAATATCTCTAGGCTGCTGCATGAACGCATGTGGACATAGTCTCTTCCAATGGTTGTCTGTGGCAGAGGAATGCAGACTTCATGTCAGCAAAACCCCACCAGCCCATGGCACACAGTGCTAGACAGAGCACCAGGAGCCTCTTGGTAGACCCTGTGCAGGGAACGTGAGGCATCATTTTGGGAACATTTGCAACCCTTTCAGCTTCTGGGTTGCTGCCTGCTATCTGAGACTCAAGCTACCTACGGCTAACTGTGCTGCTGTGTACTCAGAGGGAAGAACCTGAGTGAAACCAGCCCAGCTCTACCAGAGATGCTGAGCATACACATAGTGCACTTCATATACATTAAGCCTTTTTTTTTTTTGTTTGTTTGTTTGTTTTTTTCCTTGGGAGCACTTTGATGTGGGATGTTTCCTAGACTCCAGCAGCAAATTGGCCACGTGCTGTGCCACAGGCTCCGAGAGCACCTTCCAGTGCACCCCAAATGGCTCTGGTCCCCTTCAACTCTTGACCTCCGGCTCTGCACCCCACATACCAACATTTGTGATGCAGTATTAAGTAACATAGGACATAGACTGCATGGATCCTCACTACTGACTGGACATGGCTGAAAGACTTAGGAATTTTATATAGAGCAAATCCCGTGGAAACATTCCTGAAGATTAAGAAGTCAAGCTTTAAAGGAAGCCATGAAATGCTTCATTAAAACTGTATTTTAAGTGAGCAGTGGTCACGAAAAGTAACAGAACAATCTGCCCTCGGAGCATTGCCACTGCAAAATGCGCGCTGTGGGACAGCAATGTCACGAGTGCCGTTTCCCAGACTCTGCAGTATAAACTAAGCAGGTTTATTCCTGGCCCCATATCCAGCTGTGCTACTCCAGCCCTGTCGTGTCCCAGCTCCGACCCTTGGCTGTGCCTGCAGTGCTGCTCCTGCACAGCCTGCGCTCCGGCACAGATCTGCGGCTCAGCTCTTAAAAGCTGTTTCATAAATATTCCATGGCCTTTCAGCCCGGGTAATGTGCCTCTGTGACATTAAAGAGGAAACTCCGTGAAGGGGAGGGATGACAACAAATTTATCCACCAATAGCACACTCTTTTGGCACAAAAGCACATTCTTATCTTTACATCCCATAATGAGAAGGCAGAGACGGGACTGTTGCTGCAGCTCTCTGGGTGGGTAGCCGTACCGTGGAAGAGCCGTGTGGCTGTAAATCGTGAGATATTTTCCACCCCTGCCTCCTCCGGGAGAAGGACCCGCGCTGCTGTTTGCTCGCCGTGTTTTCCCAAGCCCCCGGTGAGGAAAGCTTCTCACACGATGTCTGACTGCGAGGGACTGCCCGTGGGTAAGAGCCAGATTTATATTTACTGCAGCGTCCCGCCGGCTGGCTCGTGGTCTCGGGTTGCAGAGCCCCATGCCAGCCCTTTGCTGCTGGGCAAGGAGAAGCCCTGGTGCAGGGCTCAGGCGCTGCCAAAAGGCACGGGGTGAGGAAGAGGATGGGCAGAGTGGTGAGGGTTGCTGGTCCAAATGCTATCCTCAGGTGACAGTGTGGGTACAAGCCACCTCTGCTCACATGGGAGCATCTGGGGACAGATCCTGCAGGACGTGTCATGGGGACACGTTGATAAACCTGCATCAACGGCATGGCTGCGGCAGGGTAGATAAATGGAAGTGGTTTGTGTGCTGAGGGAAAATAGAAGTGTGCCTTGCTTTCAAAATAAGGGCCTGGTGTGTTCTGCCTGTCTGTTACTGTACCTGGGGTTGTACATGTCAAAATTGTCTAAGTGAGAGCAGGTTGGAACAAAGTAGGCTTCTCAGTTGATTTTTTTTTTTTTTTTTTTTTTTTTTTTTTTTTTAAACTTTGAGATGTCTTGTAAACACTCACTGTGCTGCCGGCATGGCAGGAAACTCTTGTCATAATGCTAGAGCTGTGCTCTGCCAAGGCAGTTTAATAATAGAGGCATGGGCTGTTGGAAATATCTTTTGTTTTCTTTTTTGTTCTTGTGCCATGGAAAATGTTTATCTTTTCATGTATGTTGTATTATATACATGCATATAGCACAGTACTGGTGCTTTACTTGTGGAGGCCGTGTGACAGAAATTAGGTGGCTTAAACACAGAAGGTGGCTGTGGCAGTGGTGTTGGTTTTCTTTGATCTTAGCTTCCATTTTGCACAAACAGTCCCAAGTCCAGAAATGCGCAACTGGAAAAGCATAAATTATGTATGCACTGCAGAGTGAGCTGCGCCATGCACAATCTCCTGTGTCCTCACACAGCTCCAGCCACTGTCTAAAGGCAAGAGGGAGGAGGATGGGTTTTCTTTGCTCATCTTCTCAAGGGGCTGCTGTGTGCACCAGCAAGGCTTCCTTTCTTTGGTACAGCTAGCTCTGAATTAGGGCCTAGCCTATTTGCTTGTGAAGCACATTGAGCTGTGGGATATTTCAGGATGACAGTGACGATATTTGGAATCTGATATTAATGATGAAACTGATATTGAGCATATAAAGCATGCAGTGTGCAGGATGTCTCAGTTACCTTCGCCAATGAGAGCCCAGGAAGTTTCCTTTAGGAAAGTGCTGGTAGGTGCAGAAGCATCTTGCTGCAGAGACAAAGCCAGCAGGGATGTGCGGTGTGGATGCAGCTCAGAAGAGTCCTGACACAGTAGGGGAAAGATTTGGTTTGTTTCTCCTTTCTCCCAACCATCCTCCTAGCCCCATGGCTCATTCAGCACTAGAGGCAGGCTGGTGGCCTTTCTTGTTCCTTAGGAGCAGAGGTGATAACCTAAAGTTGCCCCAGGGGAGGTTAAGCTTGGATAATGAGTGGTAATGCACTGGCACAGGCTGCCCAGGGAGGTGTGGCAGTCACATTCCTCAGGTGTTCAAGAACTGTGTAGATCTGGTGCTGAAGGACATGGCTAGTGGGCATGGTGAGATGGGTTTGGGGTGGAGTAGGTGATCTTAGTGGTGCTTTCCAACCCTAATGATTCTATGGTTCTATGATTCTGCAAGGTTTGTGAGTCCTTCAGTTCCCGGCAACTGGCTCTTTCCATCCACATACTATGAAATCAAGAAATTCCCTTTGCAGTCATCTCTCCTTTACAAGCCATTTCAGAGTTTAAAACTTTGGCAGTAGGAAACGTCCATAAAAAGTGTTGCAAGAAAATCAGCATAAAACTTTCTAAAATAATGTTAGCATCCAGCCATATGGAAACACCACCTCGCTGAATCTAATGATCATAGTAAAACTGGTGGTGTACTTCTAAAACCCTTATTTCTGAATTTGGCCAGGCAGCACAGCTGCAAGGAGCTGCTGTAGTGGCAAATGTCATGAGCACTGCAATGTGGTTGGGATCTCGAGGCCTGTTTACAACAGCCTGGACAGCCACATGCAAGTGAGTGTGCATATGTATGCATGCAACTATAAATAAGTTTAGCCAAAGCACAGTATTAGTGTCAAGTCTACACGACTGCCTTGCCAGCCCCTCTGCAAAGGGTATGCCTAACAAACAGCATCGAGAACTGGAGGTTGTAGTTACAGTAAATACGTGCCAGGATTTTTACAGAGCTGTCAGCCTACACAGGAATGTAGTAAGAACAGCTGCGTAATTGTTCCCTCCGGGCTGCTGTCTGAGGGAACTCTCAATACAATCTTTGAATTAAAATCTTTCAAAATCTTTGAATTAAGTAGCTGGATATGAATGTCTCAATGTACGTACCAATAATTATTCAACAAGAAGCTTTACTCTATAGGAATACCTATAGAGTGATTCTATACTGTGAGTGATTACGCAGTTTTCAGGGTAATGGCAGTGGGATTTTCAATCCCTGGTTTACGTTTGATTGCAGCACTGATTTGGAATGGAAACTGAACCTTTGATTAAAACAAAGTTTTGTTTCATCTTCTGAATGTAGCACAGGAGACATAAAATCCTAGCTGTCAGATTGCAGGTTAAATGTAAGCAAGTGAGTCATTTTGGACTGAATTCCTACTAAAAAAGGCATTTGTGAGTGTTACTATCAAAGTGATCTATTGGTGAGCAGAAATCTAAAACTTATACTATCAGTTTCCTGTTGAAACATGGGTAGATAAAGCAGAAGGAAACATCAGCCACCTCAGGACAATGGCACTCCTATTTCTATCTCATTAGTGATTATTGACATTCTGATGCCGTCCATTAGCACTAGGTACATAGATTTTTCTGCCATTCCTACACACAGATAAAAGAAAAGAACATCAATTATTTAAGTGCTTCCCCTTGTGCATTATTTCTGTCTTGTAAGGATCCGCAGCTCGGTCTCTGTGTGACTGAAGAGCTTTTCATGCACCCAGCATTTTGATTAGGAATATATGAGTCACGAAGGTTCTGGTTCTTAACACGATCCCTTTGACTTCAGAAAAACCTCTGAAGTCATACAAAGGTTCTTAAAGTGCCTCTTCCTCTATTTGCCCCTCTAGGCTGTATCAGCCACAGACCAGTTCTAAGTGGTGTGGCTGAATTTTTGTGGATAACATCGCTGCTGCAGAAGCACGAGGTATTCGGTCCCGAGAGATGAAGAGTCTATTGCTGAAGAGGGGGTAGTTCTTAGGTTACCAGGAACCTCTTATGTACGTATTTTCTCTGTTATACCCCAAAACAGGACAGAAAAGCAAAGAAGCAGAATTGAGTCAGCTTGTTCTGTGGCAGGTGGCATGAAAATCTGACTGAATTCCCTTCAAATTCCTCCTAAACTTTTGCTGGCTTTGTGTCAATAAAGGAGGAAATAAGACCTTTCAACTGAAGTGTGTTCTTGACTCTTTAGCTAAATACTTCCTTTCAAAGCTAAAATTACATGTTTCTAACGTGCCTTTAAGGGAGACTGAAGCCAATTTGCTAAAATTGCTGTTTGCAGAATCAGGATATCCCTAAGCCCTGCAGGAATGTAGGCTTCCTGAGCCTCAGTCCCATTCTGCAGTGTCATGGTGAGCTCACTGAGTTCAGCAGTGCGCCTGCACTGCTCTATCCCTGCACAGCCTCTGGGAATTGCTCTCTGCAAGTGAGGCATTTTGAAACAGCCCCATGATCCCAAATATCAAATGCAATGAGGATTGGTCAGGAGTTATCCCACTTGGGCAGCATCCCCTGTCTCATGGCCTACTGAAGCCCAATCCCTGCATGCAGCTGCTCCCTGCCGAGTTGAGCTGGAGATGTGCAAACTCTCTGATTTCAAAGCAGTGAGGCTGCAGTGACCCAGCTGCAGTTCCTTATCCGTATTCTCAGATCTTTTGTTGGGGAAAGAGATAGAAAGAAAATGTTCTTTTTGGTTTGGGAGCAACCTGAGGACTTCCAAGCCAGTGCAGTAATTCTGATGTGCTGTGAAAAGGAGTGGGTCAAAGGGCTGACAGCAGCTCCATTTCTCTTCTGTGAAGTGCCACAGACCACAGATCTGACTCTTTGTTGTCTAAACCAAAGAGAAGAGCAGTCTGCTCTCTGCTGCAGCCAGGCTTGCTCTCAGTGTGGGCTTGGCTCAGCTCCAGCACAGCACACAGCTGTACAGAATTATGCAGCACAGCTCCTCATGCATCCCTATTTAAATGTGGTGGGTGAGGTCTCCACAGCATGTGTGCTGTGCATTTCTGGGCTCCACGCAGAAGGTATTGCAGCTAGCAGAGACATTAATGCTGTTCAGAAGTCTAGGTTTGTTGAAAAGTATTGAAATAGTATCTGGAAGAGCAAGTGAGGTTTTCCTATCCTTTCCCATCTGTTTTCTGAGGAGGGTGGTGCTAAAGAAGGAGGCTGCACATTGTTTCTTGTCAGTCCTAGCCTGTGACATTTACAGGAACTGAAGACATGTAAAAACCAAAGGATGTGTTTTCCTCTACCTCCCCACCATGTGCCACAACATCTGCAGCATTTGCAGCATAGTCTGTGCTAAGCCATTGGTGTTTAGGAGCTATAACTGCCTTTAACACTGCTTGCTGTCTGGGACCCTCCCTTGCTTCAGAGCTGTTTCATGGGCATTAATTTTAGAGGGTGGAGCACATTTCCCTCCTTTTTGCAATTTGGGCTCCAGATGAAATGCCACTTTACCACTGTACTGACTCAGTGAGTTCCTAGCCTCTCATTTACCTCTTTAGTCACCTCTGTCCCTTGTCATTTCTTTCTTTGCTGCCTATGGTCAGTTCTCTCACTACCCACTGATTGTTCTCACAGTTAAATTAGCAGAATTCAGGATTCCCTGAAATCCTTCAGCTGAAACTTATCTGACAGAATGATGAAATTCCCCCCAATTCCTTGCTTTTGTGAAATAGGAGAGAAATGCTGGGAGAGAGGAATGGGCTCCTGATGCTTGCCAGGCACTGGTTGGG